CATATAAAGGAGTATGTATGGCTGTAGATAGTAAATAAGTCTTGCATCTGTAGTATAGATTCCTTGATTGTACATATAAAGGAGTATGTATGGCTGTAGATAGTAAATAAGTCTTGCATCTGTAGTATAGATTCCTGGATTGTATGTATAAAGGAGTATGTACGGCTGTAGGTAGTAAATAAGTCTTGCATCTGTAGTATAGATTCCTTGATTGTACATATAAAGGAGTATGTATGGCTGTAGATAGTAAATAAGTCTTTCATCTGTAGTATAGATTCCTTGATTGTACATATAAAGGAGTATGTACAGCTGTAGGTAGTAAATAAGTCTTGCATCTGTAGTATAGATTCCTTGATTGTATGTATAAAGGAGTATGTACGGCTGTAGGTAGTAAATAAGTTTTTCATCTCAAGTATAGATTCCTTGATTGTACATATAAAGGAGTATGTACAGCTGTAGATAGTAAATAAGTCTTCATTTCCATTCCTTTCCAGGCATTTGGCTACTTCTCTGTGGTAAACCTCTTCTACAGCCACATTTATTCTCCTCTGAAAGGTTGTTAGTCTGAGATGTCTGGCCTTATTTTTTGGTTGTTTCTGATTCTGACTATTTTATCCACCTTGGAATCCTTTTCTCTTTGCACATCATTTGGGCTCATTCTTCTCCATTTCGTCCATGAGTCACGGAGTACCTGGTCACCTCAGATCTGTTGTTCCCCAATCCTATATTCAGGTGTTCGGGCTGTGGAAATCCTTGGCCTATATTGTTTTTTTCTCATCTGTATGTGTTATATGCTATGTCTTTGCTATATTCTGCAACACTCCTCATCATGTCCTGTTGGTAGTACCTTGTTTGGCATCCCTGTCTTGGTTTCCTTTTTTCCATTGACTGACAACTTAGGCACCTCTTTTTTGTCCATCATTGAGGTTCCTCTTGGTCCAAACTCCTGCATTACTCTTTCATCTGGAAGTGTCATCTCTTTGTCTTTACATGTGGAATTGTCCATTCCTTACTCAGTGGGTAATTTCTCATATTTCTATCTATCGTACCATTCAATTCATTCTTTCACTCTCTATGTTCCCTGATACAAGTGGTATTTTTATCACCAGCTGTCCATCAGGCATTCTCTTACCTCCAAACCATCCTTTTTTATATGTCATTCAGACTTGTATGGTAGACCCTTTGACAGTATACACCATGGTTGGATATTGTGTGGCCTTCTCAGCCACCTTTTACCCTTTTTTTTGCTGAGGTTCTATCTTTCCTTCCCCTGTCCTTCAACCTTGTTCCAGTTCTTCCTTCCTTCCTTTTCCCTCTTCTTTCTTCTCTTCCTGGGACAGCTGTAAACTTACAAATTTATACGACTAAAACC